TATTATTATTATTATTAAAAGTCGTATTCCACTACTTTAAATATATTTTCAATATGCAACCTGTGCACTATTGACCTCCTTATGTAAGAATTTAAGTTTTACTCAAAGAGTCAAAACAATTCTTTCCATTTTGTAAAACAACCCTGGTTAGAAATGCATCACTGTAAAGCAAGTTTTCTTCTGGATACAATATTTTATGGAGTATACAATTAAACATTTTAATATTTAGCATCCTACTTGCATTTTGGGGTCCTGCACTTAATGTAAAATAATGTAAGTTTTATTTGGTTGTCTTACCCTCTGCTTTTTGGCATTATTCCTCATCACTAACCGGTTTCTGAAATGAGCAGTTACGTGTCTAGTTAGCTTAAACATTTATAGGCTAATATGATATACATTAACACATCAGCTAATAACCAAAATTTGCTTTCTCTTACCTTGAACCTCCAACCCAGTTCATTTTTAACAGCTCTTAATTACTATAGAAACGACAAAATCCAGAAAACTACAAAGATCAAGCTTTTGTGCCTGTGTCAGCACAGAATCAGAGTGCATGCATAGCTTATTGTTTTGTTTCAGCTAGGTAGCTAACTTTAGCTTTCAGAATACAATAGAAGCACGAGGACATACCACCAGACTTCGGACATATGCTCAGAAATGCCCAAAGAAGAAAATATATATGTGTAATTTTCACGGAGTTTGTTTGCTTTATTTCTGTATTTTGTTTCACTGTGCCTTACGTTTGCTTAAAATAAAATACTGTAGTACAGTAGAATAAATCAGTTGGGACTAATTTATTTACGTCTGTCAGACAACCAATCATATTTTTGCCGGGGGCTCGACCAATGAAAAAAACCCTCTGCAAACTAAGTCGCCAGTGACGACAGCAAAACCGGATGTTGGGCTGATTTTCTTTATAAACTAAAAGCTAACACAGACACGTTTGTGTGGTGGAGGTAGGAACGCCTTTAATTTGGCAACCATAACCGGAAGTGCACTTGTTCTAGTTTGGAGTGCTTGTAGCTGGCGCAAAAAAGGGGAGCAGGATGTAGCGGCACAAGTATCGGGCTCGCTTCACATCAGTCCGGCCATCAGAACTCCCTCTCGCTCTTTATGTCGACGCGGTGAGTCAGGTCTGGGGGATGGGTGTAGTAAGGGCTGGTTGCAGAGACGACTAACGGTTGAAAAATGTCCAACATCCTCGATGCGGCGTCTAAAGTGAGATGGGACCGCACGGCAGCGGCGAAGCGAGCCGTGTTTCTTGCGGCTGCTGCATACGGTGTCAGAACGCTGTACCCCATCATCTGCAAGCAGCTCTGCAAAAACAAAGGTCCTGGGAGCAATCACCGGGCTTCAAAAGCGGAGAACGGCTCCACTTGCTCGGGAAAGACTCAAACGGATGCTGTGATTGATAGGAAACCATCCCCGGGGGTAAATGCTGAGTTTTTCAAGCAGATCCTGGAACTTGGTAAAATCCTCTTTCCCAAGCTCGTTTCCAGAGAGCTCGCTTTGCTCTCTTTGCACTCGGTGGCGCTGATATCTCGGACGTTTCTCTCTATTTATGTTGCCAGCTTGGACGGCAAGATAGTCAAAACGATCGTGGAGAAAAAACCCAAACGCTTCATCATCCAGCTGATCAAATGGCTCCTCATTGCAATCCCGGCCACGTTCGTCAACAGCGCCATCCGGTACCTGGAGTGCAAACTGGCTCTGGCCTTCCGCACCCGGCTAGTGAACCATGCCTATCGGACCTACTTCACCGATCAGACCTATTACAAAGTCAGCAACATGGACGGGAGGCTCGCCAACCCGGACCAGTCTCTCACGGAGGACGTGATGATGTTCTCCCAGTCCGTGGCCCATCTCTATTCTAACCTCACCAAGCCTATACTGGATGTGATGCTGACCTCCTACACGTTGATTCAGACCGCCAGGTCCAGGGGGGCCAACGCCTCCGGTCCGACCCTGCTGGCAGGGCTCGTGGTGTTCGCCACGGCTAAAGTCCTGCGTGCATGCTCGCCCAAATTTGGCAAGCTGGTGGCCGAAGAGGCTCACAGGAAGGGCTACCTGCGCTATGTGCACTCTAGGATCATTGCTAATGCTGAGGAAATAGCTTTCTACAGAGGACACAAGGTATGCAGAGACGGATGCATGTGAGTGCTAGCTGCAGAATGGAAGCGGTGTGGGAGTTATGTGCAGCCACACGATCATTATTGTGTTTATTTATTGGGAAGTGTCTGTGCCCGGATGTGCCACGGTACGTGTGAAATGCATAACACATTTACAATCTGTAGACACTAATGTAATTACTATGGGTGAAGCGGTAACTTTAGAGGTAGGTCTTTGAGGATGGCCAGCTGAGATGAATGGTCATATCCATAACAATGTTCCATCTACTGCACAAAGATTAGCAGCAGAGTTAGTTTTAACTTTATTGAATAAAGCTATTTTTCTTCTGAAAGAGCATCAGTGTGAAAGACTTTACTATTATCTTGAAGAAATTCTACTGCACAGCCTTTTTCACAGATCACACAGAGAGTTGGGAAATGCCTGTGTTGCTTCATGTTCTGATGCAGGTGGAGATGTGTCAGCTGCAGAAGTGCTACCGGGCTCTGGCGGACCAGATGAACCTGATCCTGTCCAAACGGCTCTGGTACATCATGATCGAGCAGTTCCTCATGAAGTACGTGTGGAGCGGCGCCGGGCTCGTCATGGTGGCCGTGCCCATCATCACAGCCACCGGCTTCGCTGACAGCGGTAGGGAGTTGGTTAGGTGTAGCGTTACCCTAGCACGCGTCTTGTGCTTGTTAAGCCTTTTAAGTGCAACTATAATAACTGTAGTTACTGCTTGCTCTACCAGCGGGAACTGATTAGCATGTGTGAAAACAGTAGCTGCCTCCCACACCTCCCTGATGAGCTCTCAGCATCAATAATAAGCCTGTAACCGAGTCCCTTATTACACTGTACCTACAGATATTTAATGAACCTTTTTCCGTCGTATCCTTATGCTCGCAGGTGCAAGTGTGAAAATATGTTTCGCACCGCTGACACACAAAGCTCTGTTTTGTCTTTTGAGGTCCCGAAGTTAATTGTTCTGCTCGCTGTCCCATGTCTTGTGCCTGTCTTTCCACCCTTATAGAAACAGCTGACGGTCAGACCCAGGTGATGGTGAGCGAGAGAACGGAGGCGTTCACCACCGCACGTAACCTCTTGGCCTCAGGAGCTGATGCCATCGAGAGGATCATGTCCTCCTACAAAGAGGTGCGCCGTAGTTTGCTGAATTTAACACAGCTTTGCTGTCATTTTCAATCAGAAAACTTCATAACTGAGACTCACAGGCCCACAGCTTACACTGACCTCTCATGCACACCTGCATTTCATACTCGTCCATTCTGAAAGTTGCAGCAACTCTGATCTCAGTGCGAGCACATATCTACTCTTAATCTAGTCATCTGAGGCACACAGCTCTGGCTGAGAGTCCAACCTCCTGTACAGACCTGCTGTTTGCAAAGGCCAGCCAATCAGAAGACAAGCTGGGTTAAAGGAGAGGGGACTTCTTTCATCCTGTGCATGAAGTGAATCATGCAAAGCTGCTCTAGTAGAGTCCAGAAAAGCAACATGTAGAATGCTTCCCCTTTAAGGCATTAAATTACAGATTTTTCATTATTTTTGGATAAGTTAGAGACTGTATGAACAAGTGATTAATCTGTTAATAACAGATTTTCGCTGTTTAAGATGGAAATTTATGAATGTTGCCTTTTGAATAGGTGTTATATCCTGCAAATGATGTGTTTGAGAGTCAGTTGCAGTGCAGCAGAAGTTTCATACAAGAAAAGGTCTTTTGCGCTTATTTAAACTTATAATCATTCAGCATTTTGTTCTTTCACAACATATCTGGCAGCTTTTTAGGTTTAATTGTCCATCTGAACAGTAGGAAGTACCCAAGACTGTACAGAGTGCCACGACTTTGCAGTTTTTTGGCTCAGATGTCAGTAAAAATGTCTTCTTGAAGAAATAAACCGGCCAGGTTTGAGCATCGGTGTGTCGTTCCGGTGGCCCATGTGTAGATGGATGAGTGGACATCAAGAATGTCGGATTGATTTATGTCCATCTCTCTCCTTCTTCTTCTTCTTCTTGCAAAACTCACCACGCAGCATGAAAAAGGAAAAAGAAGAGAAAAAAAAGCTGAATGAAAGACCTTGTTCATTGATAGCCAAATCCCTGATCTTTCATTGCACTTTAATCCAAAAAGAAAGAAAGAAAGAAAGAAATTGCAAGACCAGTTCATTCTCTCTCTCTCTCTCTCAGGCTACATTTTGAAGTCCATAAGAGGATTTGGTTGCAGCACATTTGTGCCGAAGCTGTGTTGCACTGCAGCTCATTAGTACTGCTGCACTTTTGATCACGTGCCACCCTGTGTGTTGGCGTGTACTATCCCAGGCTTTTTGATAATTCCCTTTATAAAAATGTGGAATATTTGAGCAAAGATCTGGCCGGTTTATCTCATGCCCGACAGCGAGTAACTTGCCTGTCAGCGACGCTTCAGCAGCCCGAAACAGCGTCAAAGAGGAGGAAATGAAACCGGTTCAATGTGCGTGCGGTTGGCTGTGAGCTTCCTTAACTGTTTCACCCGCGCTAAAGAATTTCCCATCATGCCACCTTCTTCACACCATGATTATCATTTTATTGTGAAAAACACGTTCCCGGGGGATACGAGTTTAAGCCTGCATGCACTTCTGTTTTGAGCACGTGTGCGCGTGTGGCTTGAGATGCATTGCGGCGTGCCCCTGCGTGCAAGGCCAAGAGATGTGTGTGTGTGTGCAGTTTGACAGACAGCAGGGATGGAGCACATTCCTGAGGCAGCGTGCCCAGCTCACGCCTCCACACACTCTGCCTATTTAATATGGAGGAGTGTGTGTGTGTGCAGTCAGATTGGCCCATGACAAGTCCTACCTTGCAGTAGTTTGTTACTCATCTTAAAAAGCTTTGCTGTTATTTTTGTTCTCTGTTCCACAATAACAAGGTAAGACTAAAAGTCCCCGTTTTGTTTTTTATTCTTATGTGAAAAGCACGCAGACATGAAGATGTGCTGGCTAATATCTACCAACCTCACACACAACACAGTGGTTCACTCGTGTACATTAAAACTGGCACCCTGTTCTATCAGCACATGATCCAGTGACTAAGTAAAACAGAACTGGGTCAGGTTGGTGCTCTGATGCTGTATGTGTTACACTGCTTGGAATTCTATTATGGGAACAGAACTGAACACAGAAGGCTTAAATAGGCCTCACTTCCTGAAGAGTGAATCCACCATCACTCTCGTGTCACTATAGGTCAGTGAAACCCAGCGCTTGTGTGTGTGTTTTGAGAGCTCCTTCTCTCACAGCTCAGCTTAGCTGCAAATAATCCTCCATCTGTTGATCTTCCAGCTCTGCACTTCTGCAGAGCTGGAAGATCAACAGCATTTACTTGAACTCTTTTTAGGCCAATCAGAAAGGATGAAGCGGCTGTGTTTGCTAATACACCTGCTGAGCACACCAAAAAACCCAGCAAGCACCAGATTACAGCACCTGCCTCGTCTGGTCTTCAGAACAGGGCCGTGTTTACGAGTGGGCAGTCGGGTCTCGTTTAATCTGCAGCTGGGTGTTAGTTAAAGGGATCTATTCTGCTGCTAGATTAGCTTCACGTGAGTCACAATTCAAAATAATCCTTATTAACTTATACTGGAGGGGGGGCATTTTCATGTGATCGCCCCTCTTCTGAGATAACCATATTAGGGACATCCCCTCTCAGTCACATCATGCAGACCCAAGATTTCAAGAAAAGAAACACACAGGGGTTACTTGCTCATATGCTGACCCCAGTATGTGAAAATTTGGTCATGTTTAAAAAACGTAAGCAAAGAAAAGCTCAGGTTTGGTTGATTTTAAACCAGAATAGTGGATGTGATGCTTTTAGTGGTATTTAACTTGCCCCGGTATGTTTTTTTGTGAATTCAGGACAAATATTGCAATGCTGCATGAATGTCTAGGCTGGTTACTTACGTATTGTTTACTTATATACAGCCATATCTGTCCTATCCAAAAGGATCTCTCTTGCATAAGATGTTCAGTTGCTTTGTACAAAACGGATTTTGCATTATTACACCATGTTCCCGGCTTTAGGAGGACACTTTATTTTAGCAAAAACAAGAAAAATTCAATCGGACTAACATTTGGGTGATATATCATGCAAAAGTTGAACTAATTATTAAGACAAAAAATGAGTCAAACAGCATGTTTTTATCAGGGATTTTGAACAAAGGCAGAATATAAACAACACAAATGTGCATGTGTTGTAATCACTGCTGTATTTATGTTGAAATGTGAAATGTCATTATGCAGGGCTGTGGTTCTTTTTCCCAGTGGGGTTTAATGAGGCTCATAATAAACTAAACTGGAGCTGCATATATATTGCAGTAGAAATGTACCTGGTTGAATGAGTTTGAGCCGTTCCGCCGCCCCGCACGGTGTCCATGAATTCTCAGAAATGGTGCTCGATGTTTAAAATAATCAAGCTGTGTCAACAGCCGGCATTGTCTCGCTGCAGGGTGCACCACAGAAAGCGAAAAGAAACACTCTCCAGGTGCCTGTAAACACATTTGGCTCCTTTCCTCTGTTGCCTCAGCAGTAAATGGATTATTTTACTAATTTTATGATCATGTTTACAAAAATCTCCTTTTAAAATCCAGGAAGAGGTAGATGAATGCAAGGTGAAAATACAGAATAAGTAGTAATTATTTAAGGACGACATTTAGAGCTGGTTAAGTGAAGTGAAATTATGATCTCAGTGACATGTGGTCTGGATAGAAATTGAACATTGGAAGTTAAGTAGGGTTTGTTTGTTTTTTCTTTTGAGCTATGCGGGGAATCTGCGTGCAGCCTGTTATCACGGTGCGAAGAACCACAAGAGGAAAAGCAAATATATGATATATCTAATCCAAAAGCACACACAAACATTAAGGAAAAGTTGCTACGCCTTGTAAGATGTGCGTAAAAACAAAATGCAATGATTTTTGAATCTTATAAACCTGTCATTTTAATTAATTTCAAAATTGCATATGGGAAACCAAAAACATCAAAACACAAACTGAGAAAATGTAGCAGTTTAAGAAAAATATGAGCTTATTTTGAATTTGATGGCAGCAATGCCTCACAAAGAAGTCATGTTTACCACTGTGTGGTACAGCCTCTTCTTTTAACAACTGTCGGTAAAAGTCTGGGAACTGATGAGAGCGGCTGCTGGACTTCAGGCAGAGGGATGTTGTCCCTTTCTTGTCTCTCATACACTCAAAAAAATGAAAATGGGTGGTTGTTAAATTTACGAAATTCAAACTTGTAATGTGAACAAAATAATTTCATGTTTCTGTGGTGAACGTAATGAAATCATGTAGGATCTGCATGAAATCCAGCAACTAAATTTATTCTTGTTGAGATGACAGGATACAATCTAGTAAGAGTGGTTAGTTGCCTGGATTCACCAAATTCACAAGATCACACAAGAGTTCAAACCACAGGAAAATCACTGGGGTTAGAAGAGACAGAC